GGGCTCCGCGCCGGCGCCGCCGAGGCGAGTGCAGGCGCAGGAACAGCGGGGAGCTCCCGCCCCTCGCCCCGCGGCGCGGCGCCTGCGGCCCGGGGCGGCGCAGGCCTCGGGCTGTGGGCCCGGCCCGGCTGCCTTCCCTCGTTTCCCCACGGCGCTGGCCGGCTCGAGGGCCGCCGCGGGGAAGGCCTCGGGTTTCTTAGTTCTCGTCGACTCGTCCGCTTCGGAGGCTTTCTGGGGTGCTTTGGTTCGTTGGGTTCGGTCTGGGGGTTTTGAATGTGTCATCAGGTGCAGGGCCCGCCTCCGGGCGTCCGGAGAAAGCCCTTGCGCACCTGCCGGCTGCGCGGCCCACTTGCCCCCTCACCCCCAGAAGCTGAACAGCAGAGCTCCAGCCACCCCCTTTCGGCTTCGCACGGGTTTCCACGCGCAAGAAATACCGCTAGGCTCTTGACTTCTGCATAAAAAGCCGAATTTTTTAAAATTACCCTGTTAAGGGCTTGGGGAGACAAGCTGAGCTGTGCTCGTTGGTTGCTTTGTTCAGCTGTAGGGTCAGTCCAGCACCCTCCCCGTTTGAGGTTTTTGTTTTTTAAACTTGCAGAAGGGCTTGTCACAGCTCGGTTTTATGTAGCTCCAGTTAACATGACTATACTGAAGGTCACCCTTAGAAGCCATCTATTATGCTTTCATCTACAAAGGAATGAAAACTAGGCAAATAAAAAGAAACAGTGAAAACAAATGTGTGCTAGATGCTTGTAGTAAATGACTTTTAGAAATGGGAATAACGACAGGCTTTGTACGTTCAGGCCTTCACTCTGAAGCTCAGGAGCATGAATTTCCTTCTCAAATGTTTGTCAATCACGCTTGATATGTTTGGCTTTAGTACAAATAATAAGCTTTGTGACAAAATAGATTAGCCAGAAATAAAATAACACAGTGCCCCAACAACCCCTTCATCTCAGACATTCAGTTCCACATACGGTCTTCACAGAAGAAATGGACTGTACACCCTGCTGTAAAGGATTTTGCCACAATTTAAATCCTGCCAGTCATTAAATAAAGAAAAACTTTCTACCTTGAATCAACCCTTAGTTTTGGAAAGGAACTATGACAGGTCACTTCAGCTGAAGTTTCTGTTCTGAAAAAAAAAAAATATGAAGAAATTGACATTAAAATAATTGAAGTAATGCGCATTTGTGATGTTTGTATTAAATACGTTGCCATTTAAACAACAGCAGGGGGGTAGATTTAAACAATACTCTGCAGTTGGAATGATGTAACAACGCTGTAGTGCATGAATGTCAGAAAACTACTGGAAGTACCAATAAAAATATTTTCCTTCAAGCTGAACAAAGCACAAGTATTTTAAAATGGAGTTAATGGTGAAATAGATTTGGACACTCTCTTAATATGTATAGTTTATACTAGTACTATGATATAAGTAAATATTAATAAACTTATTAAAATGCTTTACAATTACATCCTAGTGTTCTCAGCTTCAATGTTGATTTATGGTAATCTGAGGTTCTTAAAGAACTCTGTTAACTTCTAAAATCTGAGTTCATCTAAATGAAAATTCCAAATTTACTCAAAATCATACAAATCAACAGCATTCTGACTAGATCTGCATTGCAGACAATGACATGTGGTAGAAAATGTTTCCTTTTTCATTTAGAGTAGCCTAAGCATTTCTGTGGTGTTACCCCCACATTCAAGCTCCTTGAACTCACCCTAGCCTCAGCCACACCATCCCAGCCGGCCACCCCGAGCCCTTCATTGCTCTGGTGCTGGTGTTCATCTTGCTCCACTATCAACTCACAGAGTTAAAATGGCCAAAACTTAATCCCACCAAAAAAATGTTTTTAGTGAAGAGTATCTGGGGACCACTTTGGGGTGAGAAGAATGATTAGCAGGGCAAGGGAGCCCATGGCCACACAAGGCAAGATACCTTTCAGGTACCATGGAACCACTACTTCCTATCACACCATTCTGGGAAAGAAGATAATCCATCATTTTGGGGGGACTCTATACTTTCTTAAAAATTATTATTATGGACACCCATTTCAGTGTAAATTATCACCCAAGTATCACTGTACTGAAATTCTTGTTTTCAAAACTGAAGGGAAGAATTTGGACTTGATTATGCCTCACAGGGGAAACAGATGGGTTGTGTTTTCCAGCTTCTGTGTCCAAGGAAAAATAGATGATAGTACTACAATAGCTACACCGCTGGTGAGGAGAAGAACAATTTTAAATCCTGTCTGGAGCAACTGTGAGTTTTAGACAAGCTTCAGTAATCTGGCTCTACAAATGTAGCTGCTGTTGTCTATTTAAGCCTTGAAACTTAGCATGCAGTTTCCAGTGCTTGCTCCTTTCTTAAGAAAGGAATAGAAAATAATGCATCCAGGAATGTTGCTTTAATGGAAGCTCTAACCCTGTACCAGGCAATGCTCCCTCCATTCAGTGACCTCGCAGATTTTTTTTTTGCAAGCATTGTTGGGTTTTTTTTATTTAAATCTTTGCAGAAAATAAAATAACCCACTTTTTTGTTTTCCTTTTTACAACAAAAAAAATAGAAAAGTAAATATTTCCCATCCTATGCTGCCATCAAAAATGCAGAAGGATGTTCTGTCTGGAGACTGGGATTCTGCTGTTGACTACTAGATCGTTCCAGTAACTAAGGCAACAAAAGCCTCTGTTCTACTTAGAGGAAATTGGGGAGCTGGCCTAACATGCATGATCTGTAGGTGGATCATATTTTGTTTTCTCTAAAGAACTCCATCCCACCCACTTCATGAACAGAGAACGCCCAGACGCTTCCTGTTTGGGTCTCTCTGAGCACTAAACTAGCACTAAATAATAAACTCATAAAGGGAATTAGGGCAGGTTGAAATTGGGATGGGCGATATAGCCTGCCTTGGCAATAATTCACAGCAAACAATCATATCCAGAATCAAGCTGAGCTTAGTATGCTCCATTTACATAGTAGTATCTTTGGATATAGAAACACTTTAAATGAGTACATTGTGATGAGCAGATGTCAGAAATTTTTTGTATTGCTTCTCCAGGTATTCAGCACCTATATTCATGCTTGACAATGGATGTCATTAGGGGATAACTAAATGCAGCAGTGTTGTTATAAAACTGGTATTACAAAATATTTTGAACGTTGTCTTTGGTAGTGATAAACCCTACACCATATAGTACCTTTTAAAAAAATATTCAAGTGTTTATTTGTTCATATTATATAAGCCCTATGTATTAATACACAATTCTTAATAACAGCATAATACCGACTCCAGAAACCTGAAGGCAGGGATGTTCTTCATATTAATCAATGTCATGCCATACACTTAGCCACTTACTGCTAACTTTCCATTTCGTCTATGCAGGACTGCTAACCATAGAACAGTGCTCATATATGATCGTTCTAAATGATTTAATTCAGTGCAACTTGTTAGCAAAATCAATTTTTTCAAGGGTTGCCAAGAAGTCCAGAGAAAATAATATACCCTTCAGGCAGCCTGCTAGGGAAACTTACTGTGATAAATGTACGTATTAGTCTTAGAACTTTATTTGTTTATTTGTTATTAGCATATCTATTCTCGATCCTATAGCAGGGTTTTTTTTGTTTGTTTGTTTGTTTAAACACAGTCATATGTCTCATATCTTTCTCCTTTCTCTTATGGAGAACGTATTTTTTTTATTCTTAAAATTCCTTCTCGACCTTCGTCTGTCCCCAGGTGTATTGACCATGGGAATCATTTGTACCTTAGACTGTGGTCCCCTACTTAGCTGAGCCAGATGCTGCCTTTCTGTTGGAAAATGGGTGGGCAGCACTGCGCTCTCCCTCCTTACTTCTAACAGGCTTCCTCCACCATTTACCTTGCCCTGGCACAGAGACTGACAGGATTCTTCCATGAGCTGATTTACCTCACAAACACACATAGCAAGAAATTAAGCCAGAAAAGAAATAGTTTTACATTCTTCTGCTGCTCTAGTGAGCTAAGTGGTTCATGAGAGGGTCCAGGGAGTGCAGGAGTTGGCATGAAAGCCCAACAGAAAGGCAGCAGGACCACACAGCTACAAACCAGAGATGGAAGAATGAGGTAGAAACAGGATTTCTTCATTTCAGCAGCACCAAGTTATTAGATCAACTGAACAGCTCATGGAGTCACCTCCTCCTGTGAATTTCCCAAAAATATGGCTTCAGCAGACTATCATATGTCAGCATGCAACTACATCCAAACAGTTGATGCTTCCTTTACATCAGCACTTTAGTAACTGCCTTTTTCAAAATTACCCTTTTTTTCTGGAAGGTCAGCCTCTAGCAGGATAGAAGCTTTTTCTTTTATTTGCCTATTCACATAACTATATATGTTATATACTGCATTTTATGGATGGGTTTTGGCTGGACAGGAAAGCTCCCTTGTACTCCATGTTCTAGCTGCCACACATGGATGGGGTCATGAGGCATCTTCTGGAAGGAGAGGAAGATGGTGCTCTCCACGGGATCCACAAGGGACTGTCTAGCTGCAAGGAAGCCTGGAAGGGATAGCTCAAGAGGTGTAGCAGATGAAAGATGTAGCATGAGATAGGAGGCAGGGGCTTGATCAGGAAGAGGACAACAGTGGCTCAGAGCTGCAGGAGGGAGGTTCTCCTGGAGACCAGAGGAGCTTTGCAGAGGTTGCTGCAACCCAGAAAACCAGCTGAGATATTGCAAGCTGAGACATACATGTTTGAAGGTAATGGCTTACCCTATTAGAACACAGTGAGTGGCAGGGGAATTGGCATTCATGCTCTGTATTTTTATTAGTCCTCAAACAGCAAAAAAACTCAGTTTTCTGTATTTCAGAAGCTACTTTGGTTTAGTTTCTATTCTAATAAAACAATGTTAGAGATAGAAAACCCTTTTAGTGTGGTTGCTATGATGACTGCAAGGAAGATGGGCAGGGAGGTTCATCCTGAAGCTCTGACTGATTTTGGGGAGCCAATCACAAGCAGAAAGCCCTCTGACATGTTTACATATTAGCCTTCTTGAACAGTGCTGTCATGGCAAGAAGCTCCCAAGAGAGCCTAAATAGTGGTTTTAGCCCTCCCCCACTTCCAGCTGCATGTTGTGCACTCTCAGCACTTTCCTTGTGCAAGGCCTGGTGGTCATTAGAGACTGCACTGAGCCATTTTAACATGCTCCGTCAGCAGAAAAAATAGCCCAACAAAACAAAATGCTAAAACTGGCTTTACTTGTTCTGGACTGAAGTCAAGACAGATATTCACAACAGAAAGGT